CTTCTCGTTAAAGAGTCTTCATTGACGATTGAAGATATTGAAGAGAAGAATCTAAGCTTTGCGCTTCGAAAGCAAGATAGGCGAACCGGCTCCTCCTATTCACAAAAAAATATATAGTAATAGTTTCAACTATAAAAATGACAACTTTTATATGTACAATTAATATATACATGTGATTTATTCAATTATATGTATATATATTAGGTGTTGGAATTAATTCGTAGCGTTTTTAATGAAAGAATGTTATTTATTTCACATGAGCATTAAAAAATACATTAATGAAAGTACTTCCCATCACTTGTAAAACGCTACGAATTAATTCCAACACCTAATATATATACATATAATTGAATAAATCACATGTATATATTAATTGTACATATAAAAGTTGTCATTTTTATAGTTGAAACTATTACTATATATTTTTTTGTGAATAGGAGGAGCCGGTTCGCCTATCTTGCTTTCGAAGCGCAAAGCTTAGATTCTTCTCTTCAATATCTTCAATCGTCAATGAAGACTCTTGAAAGAGAAGAAGATATGATAAAAGATCGCGCACGTTCGTCGATCGCGAAAGGCGGGAAACCTGTTGCGATCTTTCGTATACAAAGCGTTTTTTCGATGGAAGCCCAACGATAATGACAACGGAAAGAAGAGCTCGATCGTCTTTCGAACCGGAAACGAGGGACGATTAGGACTGCACGAAAGAGAGACATTTATCTGGCAGGAACTCCCGCGATCATGATCATCCTCTCGGAGCGGAAATACTCGAGCTCTCGGCACTTTCTCGTCGGGGCCGGTTTTCGGCTTCACCCTTCGACCATTGAATTTCATACCTCTTTCTAAACGTAGTATTTAATCGTCTTCAACCCCCCCGGCAAGATTACGGAGCAGGTACCAGGTGGAACATCTGTTGCTCAACCTGTATCGCGCTATAATGCCTTTTACGCTCCAGTACCGATCCCTTTTGCGATTTTTTTCGTCGGTTATGTGAATAGGAGGAACCAGAGCGTGCGTGAGAGAACACCCAGTCGTTTGGCGCATTATAAAAAGCGTCTGCTCGCAAACGGGTCGCAATTACGCACTAGGTCTCATAGAGAGGTAGCCAACAATAATCTCTTCCGTTGTAACGAGGGAAATCCGCTCGGGGAAAACGTTTCTTGCTGGTCTCAGCCTCGAGTCGTCGTTCCTGTTCCCTCGATCTTGCATCATGATCTTATTAATGGATACAAATTCGTCTTCTAACCCGCTGGTCCTTCGAATTCTCATAATTAAAGTCGTTTCGTATTCAGATGTTAAGCAACAACTTGTCCAACTAGCGATTATAATATTGCTCCATATATACACATTATAAATATATGTATATATATATATATATATATATATATATTTTAAATATATATTTGCGTATCGAAAGAGGATGTGCTTCCGCAAAACATTTATGTAAATAATGGAACACGCGTGCGACTTACGAAAGCGCGCGTGATTAACCCCGTAAACTTTGGACTTCGGCCGCGTATAGCCTTGATCTTCCAGCGCGTGTGGGCCGCTCGTGGCCACGTGAATGCGTTTCCATTTTTCTGCATGGCGCACGAGAATGTGCGTGAACGACGTCTCTTTCTCTCTCTTCGCCATCGTCCTCTGACCCGCACGAAGTGACCACGTGCCAGTCGGTCGCGGTGACGTCACACTTCCGGTACGTGATTTCCTGGTACCGGACGACCGTTGGCGGATGAGAGGAGTTAAGTACCGGACACGGGAGGTTCGCGCCTCCTCCTCCGCCGCCTCCTCTGCGCGAGTGTCTCTCGCGTCTTCCGGAGCGGAAAGGATAATAAGTGCCTCGCGAGCAAATATTTGCAAACGGAAGGGCGACTGTCGTCCTAACGTCTTGAACTCTGTAGTTGCATTTTTTTTTTTAAATTAAATTAGGAAACGATCGAAGAATTTTAGACCTACCTCAATTTTAGATTAATTCCGCGATTAGAAGCGAAGCGACGTTTATTTTCGGTCTCGCGTGATCTCTGACTTGATACTTTTTCAAATTTATAACACTATCAGCAGAAAGTTACATGAAGTGACAAGACTGTAGATCTTATTTTATTTTAACGATTAGTTATCGATGCGCGAGAAAGTAGTAGAATAGTCAGACGATCACGGACAGTGTGTCTAATAAGTCGTGTTTCTTCTTACAGCGTGTGGCGAACCAGGCGCTTACCGTTTCGCCACAGCCGGCAGTAACGGTGGAGGGGCCGGTGTCCAAAATGTCTCCACCGACGAACGACGTGAACAACGGTGTGGTAGCGTCTCCTAGCACCCTGGCGCCTCGGGTTCCACCGACCACGAACCCGTCCCTCACCAACCCACCGACGCACAAGCGTACCCCGAAGGACTTCATCTTCGGCAAGGTGATCGGCGAAGGAAGTTTCTCTACCGTAAGTCTCCTCCCCTTCATTGTTTTCATGAATTTAATAAAAAGAAACTTAATGCGAACGTAAATTGAAATGTTTTATAACAAGAAATATGAAAAGAGACAATAACGAATCTGTAATTTTTTAATCCGACAGGTTTACCTTGCCAAGGATATCCACACCAACAAGGAGTACGCGATTAAGGTGTGCGATAAGAGTCATATAATCAAGCAAAAGAAGACCGAGTACGTGAAACGCGAGAAGGAGGTGCTGAACATGCTCGCGGACGCCAAACACTCGTTCGTGCGACTGTTCTGCACCTTCCAGGACGCGGAGAGACTATACTTTGTCATGTCGTACGCTAAGAACGGCGAGCTCTTGCCTCACATCAACAAGGTGGGCTCCTTCGACATCGAATGTACCAAGTTCTACTCGGCCGAAATCTTACGCGGTCTCGAGTATTTGCATGGGCTCGGTATCATTCACCGAGATCTCAAGCCGGAGAACATCCTGCTGGACGAGAAGATGCACGTGCTCATTACCGACTTTGGCTGCGCCAAGATCCTCAAGGATGACCCGGAGATGCCCGCGGACGCGGACTCTCAACAGCAACAGCGTTTTAGGGAACGCAGCGGCTCCTTCGTCGGTACCGCTCAGTATGTGTCACCAGAGCTACTGACCAACAATAGCGTGAGCAGAGCATCCGATCTCTGGGCCTTGGGCTGTCTTGTCTACCAAATGGTCGCTGGCCTGCCGCCTTTCCGTTCGAGGAGCGAGTACGTGATGTTCCAGAAGATCCTGAAACTCGAGTATGATATACCGGACGGTTTCTGCGAGTTGGCCAGATCGTTCGTTAATCAGTTGCTCGTTTTGGAGCCGACGCAACGATTGGGCGCTCTGGACGAGCACGGCGCTGGTTATCCCAGCATCCGAGCGCATCCCTTCTTCGAGGGTGTCGACTTCGAAACCCTTCACGAGCAGACACCGCCACCTATTTATCCGTATTTGCCCGGCACGTCGGAACGAGAAGAGTTGAGGTCGCAATACAGGGTGCCTGATAATCTTGAACCCGGTCTGGACCATAAACAACTCACCAGGCTTCTCTGGCTGAGTACCGAAGATACCGATGATGACAACAGTACTGGCGCAGAGCAACGCGCTGTTAACGCGTTCTTCAACGAGATAATCGCAAGCGTGGACAAGCCACTGAGGAGGTGCACTAACAACAGATCCGACAGCGGCGCTAACATCGCCAATCTGACACCGGAACAGATCAAGATGCGACTAGAGAAACAGCGCACCACGAATCAGTGGCACTCTTTCGTCGAGGGTAATCTTATACTGAAACAGGGCTTCGTCAATAAGAGGAAAGGCCTGTTCGCCAGGCGGAGAATGCTCCTCCTTACCACCGGACCACATCTGTACTACGTCGATCCCTTCAATAATGTTCTCAAGGGTGAGATACCCTGGAGTCCAGAACTGAGGGTCGAGCCGAAGAATTTCAAGATCTTCTTCGTTCATACGGTAAGTGTTTTAGAATATTGTTAAAGTAAATTATTGAGCATCCGATACTTTTGTACTTTTGTACCTTTTTGACAAAGAGATGGAGAGATGGAGAAAGAAATTAAAATCATACCTTTCGATGTTTCCGTTTGTATTCAATTTCTATAAAAATGGAACATATATTTGAAATATACACATCAAATATATCTAAACTTCGATGTTTTTGTTTATAGCCAAACAGGACATACTATCTCGAAGATCCCGAGGGATTTGCACTGGAATGGTGCAGAGCAATCGAGGAGACACGAGTCCACTGTTATGGCCTGCAGGAAATGACCACTGCTTAAAATGAAAACTGGAGAGATCCAAAAGACAGAACGAACACATAATAAGTGGTAAAGTCCGCGAGTGGTTATCGCCAAGGTTCTCGACGAGAAGAATTGGCGACTCGATTGTTCACGTATTAGCCCATTGTAAAAAGTAAACTAGTAGACTTATCGCGCGCATTCCGATTGGTGCGCTCTGTACAGTTTATAGGCAGAAATTCATTAAGCAAAAATTTCTACCTCCGTCATCGAGAATCACCGTCGCGCGGTGTCCATTATCACTTACGTTCGCTATTTATTGATGACCTTTTAGAGAGAGAATCGTATCATTCACGCGCGAAAACCGCACGATGCGTGCGCGAAGAATAGACGGAGGATTAGAGAAATTTTTAGCCAAGGCTTCGGCTGTGTATTCGCAGCGCCTATTGCCGTGTGACGTAACTCGCGTGAGATCGAGGTCGCCCCGAGGCAAAGAAAAATGAAGTTCACGCACCCGTAAATTTCAATGTTTACAATTCTCGTGATATGTATAATCCGGATCCCATGGCACGAGCAGAAATTTCCACGCGGCTTTCGAAGAATAAAAATTATTAGGTGTTGGAATTAATTCGTAGCGTTTTTAATGAAAGAATGTTATTTATTTCACATGAGCATTAAAAAATACATTAATGAAAGTACTTCCCATCACTTTCTACTACTTTTGACCATCTTTCGGGCAGTGAATGAATACCGCGTCGGAAGAACTGTTCATCTTTAGATGAAATCCAGGAATCGAACCATTTTGTACAATCTTCGTAAGATGTGAACTTCTGCTCGCACAAGCTATGAGCTAATGATCGAAACAAGTGGTAGTCGCTAGGTGCAATATCAGGAGAATACGGCAGGTGCGGTAGCACTTCCCATTTAAGTGTTTCCAGGTATGTTTTTACCGGTTTTGCAACGTGTGGGCGAGCATTGTCGTGCAGCAAGATGACTTTATCGTGTCTTTCGAAGTATTCCGACCGTTTTTGCTTCAATGCACGGCTCAAGCGCATCAGTTGCCGTCGGTAGAGATCTCCAGTAACGGTTTCATGCGGTTTTAGCAGTTCGTAGTATATGACACCCTTCTGATCCCACCAAATACAGAGCAGGAGCTTTGAGCCATGGATATTGGGCTTTGCCACTGATGTTGATGGTTCGCCGGGCTTAACCCATGACTTTCTGCGCTTTGGATTGTCATAATGGATCCACTTTTCGTCACCGATGCAAAAAACCTTTTCTTTTCTGCCGTTGAAGCAGCAGTTCGCACGTGAGAAAACGTCTCTCAATATCCCTTGGTTTCAATTCATATGGGACCCAATGTCCTTCCTTCTGGATCATGCCCAAACTTTTAAGACGTTTTCCTATTGTTGAGAAGTCAACTTCCAATGACGTAGATAATTCTTTAAGTGTTTGACATGAGTTTTCATTGAGCAGTGCCTGCAAATCGTTATCTTCAAATTTTTTCGGCTGACCAGGTCGCTCCTTGTCATCCAAGTCGAAATCACCAGCTTTAAAACGTGCAAACCACTTCCTACACGTTTGCTCAGCCAGAGCATGTTCACTATACACATCCACTAAAATACGATGAGCTTCAGCTGCACTTTTGTTCATATTAAAGTAATGAAGCAAAACTCCCCGCAAAAACACTTTATCTGGCACAAATTTTGACATATTCAATGAATTATACAGTATTGTTATTTATGATTTCAAGAAAGGTTATGTACGGCAAATGACGTCCTATGATAGATGTTTACAATGTATACAGAACTATAGGTAACAACGAAATAGTGTACTGCTTGTGCCATCTCTTGTAAAACGCTACGAATTAATTCCAACACCTAATAAAAAAAGGAAAAGCAAAAGACCGAATTGTGTCCCAGAAAGGAATGAAGGATCCGCCTGTTCGGAGGCGCCCTTGGTCGCGCAAAACACGCTTCGCACGACGCTATTGTAGTACTTTATTCCTAAATATAGTCCAATTCCATACACACACGCGGATAAAACGATGCGTATTTAGGTGAAATTAAAAGCTGCCGCGCGGTAATGTCATCGCGCGAGCTTAGACGTCAATTTAGCCAAAAAATGGGAAAAAAAGAAAACGAGAAACGCCGTGGAGGATAACGAGACACTACGCAGCTTTAACGAAACCGTTTTACGTCGCCTGTAAAGGATCCTCGGAATCTCGCGACGTTCCGGGCGATCTTTGCTCTCTTCGCAGTGTACAGACAGTATTCTTCGTTACGTCGTTCATCATCATCCCTCCCTCTCCCCCCCCCCCCCCCCCTTTCGTATTCTCGACCCCTTTTCTCATAAATATTCTCTGTAAATATCATAAGCGCGTTTCTACGAAGAGCAGGCCACGTAAAAGCACTTTGTAATATAATAGATACGTAAATAGAATAAAAGGGGAAAATATCGTTGTCTTACCACGGCGTTTTTCGCTCGTTTAATTACGCTTCTCGTCGTCTGGCTTTCGCGGATTCGAGTGTGCGATCAGATGACTTGGGGAAATATCGCAGACAAGGGAAAGATCGGTGTTCGCCCTATCCTTCCTCCGTTCGAAATGGTAGCGATGAAGAAAAAAGGGGCATAGGAAATTTCATTTTCCCTCCCGCGAAAGACTTACATGCCCGTGACTCTAGATTAATATAGACGTTTTCGATAGCTTTAAGAGGCGCTATAGTAAAATTCGCTCTCGAGCATATCGCCGATTCATTTGTATATCGTTATCAGCGCGATTATTATTTATAATATAATTTACGTAATGTTCGAACGAAAATTATTATCACCCGCGACCGATGACGCGTACGAGTATTACGAGTATTCATTTTCCTCGCATATGTATAAATTAGATATTTAATTAAACACGGTCTCGCGCTTCGTTAATTTATTTCTACCGTTACTTGCCTCGAATTATTTATTCTCGTTTTTTTTTCCTCTTTTTAAATACTATGCGTCAAGGACCGTGACGTTCGTATATAGAGATTACAGACTAGTTAACTATTTCGCTACACCACTCCGTGCGACTATATATTTATATATATTAGAAAATATAGTGCTATTACTACTATTACTATTACTATCGTCACCACTGCGTTGTTGCTACGTTACTGCGTACATATATATATATTAAATATATTCTATATTATACGTCAACTATTGTCGTTAGACTTAGCTGTTTTTAGGTATATATATATATCTTTATTGTGAATACGTACTATCGCATTGAGAATAAGGAAGGAAATCGAGGTGCGATTCGACCATGATATCGCGATCGAGCCGTAGTCCAATGTGTATATAAAGTTGTACATTACTAAACATACGAAAATATTTATATAGATATATTGTACGGTATATATATATAAAATATTTATATAATGTAAATAGTTTGTAGTTAGGGGGAAAAACTGTATAAATGTTTATAGGGTAAAATCGCGTTTAGGTTTAATTCTCGTTAATTCTTGGCACGGCTCGTTCGCGATTCCGCTGACGAAAAACTTTAATTTTCTCTCTTTGTTTTTCTTTTTCTCTCTTTCTTTCTCGCATGACACAGACATATACAGGGTATTCGGGGGATGACCAGAGCGGTCGGTGGTTGGCGCGCGTTGCGTCGTGCGATGTTCGAAAAAATGGTGATTCTTTATGAATCGGCATTGTCCTCGCTGCCTAGTGGCTTTGCTCAAAATGACCGCTTTTGGCAGGCCGCGTACGGTGTGGGCGGACGGGAAACGAAAAGCGGGCGAGCAACCACCGTCAACGTCTCGACTCAGACTCCTTTCTTCTTTTTTCTAGTGAGAACCGATCGCGAAAGAGAGAGAGAGAGAGAGAGGGAGAGAGAGAAAATGTTAGTCTTTTAATTTAGAGAGAGAGAGAGAGAGAGAGAATTTCGCTTTAGGTGAATCGCGTCTTGATTTCGCAACGTAATCTGTCTACCGTGAACGAAGCACGTGTGTCATGGAATTTTGGTTTATATATATATATATATACATATACATATATCTCGCGTGAAGTCATACATAAAAAGATATATTTTTCGACATAGAAACAAATATATTCCCGTGCATTGTGTAAATATATCACACATCGACGTTGTGCTTCTTTTCCGGGGAGAGAGAAACAGTACGTACTATACAATATACATCCGATCGCCGATCTCGTATCTTGTCGAAGTCTTTTTCTTCTTTTCTGTATACGAGATAGGGAGAACGGATCGCGCGCGTCGTTTTCATCGCGGGGAAACTTTGCAGGTCCTGTATTTTGTGTAGGCGTTGCAAACTTTCAGATGGGAACGCGTGCGCGCGCGCGTCTTCTTCGAGGGGTATCCAACGGCGCGTTTCGATTTTTCCGAAAAAGGAACATTGTTGGATGTCTCTTTTGTTCGTCCGGCACTGTTCCTGAGATTCCTGCCGCCCTTCGGTCCGTACGTTTCGGACCTTCCCCTCTCACTATATTATATCATAGCGAAATAATCGGTTTGGACGTGACTTCGTAAGGGGACACACCAAGGCGCTACGTTTACTAAGAGAAGAGATATAACTAATTTAACTAGGCTAGAAGTTTTTTCAGAGGAGACGTATACTTAATTCGAAATTCTTACACTGTTACGATATCGTTTACGACCTGCGAAATAACAGCAAAATCTTGCGGATGTTCAGATGCCTACTGTTTCGATGCAGCAGAAACGTTCAACTATTGATTGCAGTATTACTAAATGTATACAGATTAAATGTAACACACTCTACACATAACACACACACACGCACACAACACACAAATACTGTCAATATACACTTGCGCAACCTACGAGAAGACTTTGTAAATAGTTAGGATATAATTGATATTATAGGCGCCAAGATGTATTAAGAATAACATCAAATTTATTCCGAATAAATCTTCCGAACTATCGCATAAACATGTCTTTATTAATCTTTCATGTCCCATTCCAAAAAATTTCCTTCATGCGATACATTACAATATTATAATTATAAGAAACATAATTTATATATCTTCTATGCAACGTAAAAATGTCATATTTTAGATATATATGCAATAACATTATACATGTTTTTTTGCTATGCATTACACTGTTTCAAGGTTGTAAGCTTATAAGTCTCAAAGATACAAAAAAAAAAGAATTTATTTTCTAAAGATAATTTATACGTTGTTTCATTATATAGAAGTTTTAAATTACATATTTATACATTATACGCTTTTCATGGCTTGCCGATGTGTGTTAACAAATGTCTTTTTAAATGTGGCATATTTTTCGGCTCCGTCGAGCATTTGTGACACTTCAATTTTGTGTTCAGATAGTTTGTACACATCTGCGGAGAAATCTTATTGATTTTGCCGTCTATGCGCAACTGACGGCATATATCTAAAATTCAATATGCTTTTATATGTAAATTATAATATAAATAAACATATGATACAAACCTTGCGAATGTAAAAAGAATGGCGTGGTAAAGGAGTTCCAATGATATTTAGTTTTAAGGCAAGGACTATTAAAATCCGTGCTTATTACATGTAGGTGCAGCCTTTGCATACTTGGCATCGCATGATAACCTATGCTGTTCAAGAATTAATATTGTCTTATAATTCTCAAATATATAAAAATAATTCTGTGCTACATTTTTTCTATATACTGTATATATATATATATATGTCTTTTATATATGTAAGACAGCATACATATACATTCTTATTTTGTCATATGTGTAATAGAATTAATTACTATTTATTATTACTATTAATACTGTTCTATTTTAAGACTCACAAGAATTCATGATCTGTTTGGTCTTTTATTAGATCACATGCAACATCGTGCATATATGTTAACAAATCTTGATGCTCTTTTTTGATACGCCATATATTGAGAATATCCTCTTTCGGTAAAATCAAATAATGAAATTGCGCTTTAGGATATTTATCTTTGATAACAACTATTTTATCATCTTCTCTGATTTTGCATTCAGGATCTTCCATTGATTTAAGTAAATTAGCTGACCAATGATGTTTTTTTGCAGTCGCTATTACATTAGTGGCTTTACGTTTCATTATCACAATTAATATAAATCGTAGTCGTTGAATCATGCTATCATTTATCTAAAAATATATATATATAAATTAATATATTATGTATATATGTGCGTATACACACACACACACACACACACACACACACACACACACACACATATATAAATTTATATACATATATGTACAGTGTTAAAACAAAAGTTTATAGCACTACGAATTACAAAATTCACGCAACTGTAACTTCTTTATTAAAAATGAAATTTAAATTAAAAAAAGAAATTTTAAAACTTAAAATCTTCACTTTTGAAATCTTCACTATATCTTTAGAGTTTCTGTAAGTTTGATAATTTTTTGATATGGAAAATAACGAGTTGAATAAATTGGAAATTTACTTTTTTATGGGATGTCATGTATCCAAGAAAAATTTATAGATATTTTCGAACATGAAAGTTTAAAATTTTTTCTACCAAACTCTTTTCAGAAATATTTCTAAGATTTCTGTTACTGAATTATCGCGTATTAAATAAAAGAAGGAGTTTGACTTTAAATATTACTGCCGATCGATTACGAAGTTAATACTTTTAACCTACAATATGTATATAGTGAGGCAGCTTTCATATTTTGCACTTTGACTTGCACTCTCACAATATATAACATAATTCTTGAATTCTGTACGTCTATATATAAATAAAAACGAGAGAAACACACGAATCAAACGAAATGATTTAAAAATATGAGATCTAACCAACAAATATCAACTTCAAAACACTTGGAAAATGGAAGATTAGGATTGTCGAAATCGCCTGTACACTACCGCCAGTACATCTACTTTCAGTTTGGGAACTATGTGACTACATACATTTTATCGATAAAATCGTATCGGTAGTAGATATTAGAGAGCCTATAATCAGAGTGGCGCCATACGAGAGATGATATTTTACGAGTCATATTTTAGCGACAATAAACAACGTTTTGTATAAAGTAATGTGCAATATTACAAAATGTACAATATTGTAATAGTACAAAATATATGAAATTTTATAATAAATATATGTAAAAGTTTTATTGTTTTATGTACAATATTTATTTATTACCATTTTTTAATTTGTCACAATTTTTGAGCAAAAATTTGAATTCAAAATTTAGAAAATAATGCGTTTAAAAAAGAGGGAATGGCTAAAACATGGCAGACCAATCACAAGTGATACCTATATGACGTTACTCTGATTGTAGGCTCTCTATCCCATTCTTATTCTTATAATTATATTTACAATTTGCAATTTGAATAAAGTTAGAACTCTTCTAATTGTATAAGCAAACTACATTTAATTTAAAATTGTGAAGAAAATTTGTATGAATAAAAATAAATCAACCTTAGAGGCCCTCCACACCCCCACCAATTTTTAATGGCGATCCTCTTTTCTTTGTAAGTATATTCTCCGTAAAAAAACGAGTTAGTCGGTTTTTGCAGATAAATATGTTTTAAATTTATTTTTTAATTTTATATCTCTCTTTTTTTCTTTAATTATTTTATTATATTTCATTAAAATCATATTGCATTATGATTAGCGAAATACAATAAAATAATTAACAATTACATTGCATAGCTTTTTAATATTATCTTTTATTGTAACCCTTTAATAATTATTTACAATACAATGTATAATAAAAAATGTTGTTCGAAATATAATAAGAATTATATTATAGGAGCACAATTAACAAAATTTAGTAATGA